CCCCTCAGCTGGGCTGGGTGAATAAACATCCGGGGAGATCTTGTTAAAAAATACCTCCCTGGGTCCCATCCATGAAGCTGGACTAGCAGCTGAGGGTGGACCTGGGGTCGGAATAACTAAAAACCTCCCCAGACGATTCTGGTATGAAGCCAGGTCAGGGAGCCACCATCTGACACCCTATAACCTGCCACTCCTCACGTGAGGCCTCGTGATGGCACCTTTGGCTTCAGGTGACGATTTGTTTATACTATTAAGCAAGCGCTTAAGAGCAGGGAACATGCCCCATGATTTCTGCATGCACACGTGCACACAAAAACGTGCGTGTACAAACACACACACAACAGTACTGAGCCTAGTGCATAGTCTAAAGCGGGGCTCAGGCATCGCATATTTATCCACTGCAAGGGACCCGAGAGGCCACAGCCATCTGGGCCTTGTACAGGTGAGGTGGCTAGAAAAGAAGGCCCAGCTGCCTCTACCTCACAGGTGTGTGTGCCTGGGCCTGTCCCATGCACTTGCTCCACACGAGGCTCATTCCAGGCACTCCTGCGGGGACGAGCCTGCTCACCCATTCTAGGTACTACTGGTGAACATTCTCAAGGATCTGAAAGGTACAGACAGAATGACCCAGAAGAACCGAGGGTGGCAGAACATTTCTCTCTGGGGGCTATGTGGTCAGAAGTTCTTGTCCCACATCCGTCCCATAAAGTTCTTAGGGGCCATGCTCCCTGGCCATGGACACCCTACCTTGAAGGGCAGGGTCTGTGAGCAGGGACCAGCCATCACAGATCACTCAGTAAAGGAGATCTCCCCAGTGGTGCTTTCCCATTAGAGTGAGTTCCTTTCTAGGGTGATGGCGTCCCCCAGGGGAGGCAGGAGGGGAATGACACCAGGGACCTTCCACGCTCAGGCCGGCAGGACTCTCGAACAGAGGATTCATGGTGGGAGGCGGGCACAACCGCTGAGAGTTTTAAAAAGGGAAACGAGCATGTTCTGCAGGAGACGCCCTTCCCTTTCCCTCCAAAGAACAGTAATTACTGAACCCCTTTTCCCTCGAGAACCGACTGGTGAACGCAGCTGACGTCCAAGCAGCCCCTGGGGACACCGCAGCCCACCGCAGCCCACCTTGCCCTTGCACACGAGGTTTCGGATGTGGGTCCACAGGGCGGTGCCACGAGCACACAGGTGCTTTTCGGCAGAGGCCACCCGGCTCCGACCGGCCCGGCTGGGGTGGAAGTACCGCAGGAGGCTCTGCATGGCGGCAGGGGCGGACGGCGACTCTCGCATCCTTGGTCCTGCTGCTGCTGAGAGGCCAGCACGGCTGAACAAGAGCATGGGGAGCCCCGGCCTCCTCATCCTTTTGACCAGGCTTTGCAGGAAGCCCCGCCCCTACAGCCTGGCTCGCCAAGGTCAAAGCTTCCTATCATCCCTGCGTTTTCTACTTTTTTGTCTGTGTGTGGAAAAAACACCCCCACCGGCAGCCTACTGGTTACGGGAACTCCGTTGTGTCACCGTTTTTTTTCCAAAGCCCAGAAAAGCCAAGCTTCCTTCTCAAGTGGCTGGTTTCCTGTGGGCAGTGTGGCGACACTGAGTAACATGGCTGCCTGGCCAGTCCCTCTCATGGCAGGATGTGCTCTGGGGACCCTCTGGGGTTTGCACCACTCCAATAATGGCATGCACCGCCTCAGACGAACTAATGGCAAAGGACGCCCTGCCCTCTCCCGGAACAGCTGGCCCACTGATGAGGGGTTCAGTGCCATTATCCACCCGCAGCCTGGAGGTCCAGACCCACCATCACCTGGGCCCGGAGGCTGCGGCACGAGCTGGCCTTCGGAGTGAGACCTGGGCCAGAGTGGCGTAGGCCCCCAGCCTGCGCAGTGGTCCTGGATAGTGGCTCTGGTGAGAAAGGCCAGCTCCAGGCTGGCTCAGTTCCAAGGAACAGCGTGTGCTGAGCAGCACGGAAGCAGCATGAATAACACGACGATGAGGCTGTGGGTTGCTCAGGCCAGACCCAAACAACATTCAAGGCTGGCGTGCTCTCCAGAGCAGCTATTTAAAACGCCAGAGAAGTAAACAAGTGGCAATCTGGAAAAATAGATGACTTGAGGGGAGAGGACCAGGAAATGGACATCTCGGGAAAATGTGAGAGTGCTCTGGATGCCCCCTCAGGGTCTCAAGGCTGCAGTGACAACCATGCATGCTGCTCAGGGACAAGGACTTGGGGGGCAGGGGGGTTTCTGCTCACACTGTATTCTCTGGAGGATGCTCTGGGCCCTGCTTGTCTCCCTAAGGTTGGGCAAAGTGAGGGTCTCAGAGGAACATGTGTGGGTGGCAGGCCTGGTGGACCACTGTCCCCAGGTCTGCTTAGAAAAGTACCCTTTGTGTCCTCTCCAGGGTGGCAGGGGTGGAAGGTGCCAAGTCCAGGAGTGCTGCCCGAAGCAGCTTGGCTGAGGACAGGGTGCTGTCCTGCTTGCCTGGTAGTGGGCACGACCAGATGGGACACTCATGGACAAGCACAGGGCATCCCTTCACCCAGCCCTGGC